AGCTCGAGGAGCATGAACTCATGGAATTTGTATAATCTTTACACAAGGGGATAAGAAACAACAACAGAGCAAGTTTCTTGTAGCTTGGCACCTGCAGCTCCAGAACACATTTTGGCTTGCCATTAGATGTACTAAACAGGACCTTTGGGAGAGGCTGCTGCTTATCATAAAACAGCTGGAGGAGCATGGACTCATGGAATTCGTGTAATCTTTACACAAGGGGATAAGAAACAACAACAGAGCAAGTTTCTTGTAGCTTGGCACCTGCAGCTCCAGAACACATTTTGGCTTGCCATTAGATGTACTAAACAGGACCTTTGGGAGAGGCTGCTGCTTATCATAAAACAGCTGGAGGAGCATGGACTCATGGAATTCGTGTAATCTTTACACAAGGGGATAAGAAACAACAACAGAGCAAGTTTCTTGTAGCTTGGCACCTGCAGCTCCAGAACACATTTTGGCTTGCCATTAGATGTACTAAATAGGACTTTGGGAGAGGCCGCTGCTTATCATCAAACAGCTGGAGGAGCATGAACTCATGGAATTTGTGTAATCTTTACACAAGGGGATAAGAAACAACAACAGAGCAAGTTTCTTGTAGCTTGGCACCTGCAGCTCCAGAACACATTTTGGCTTGCCATTAGATGTACTAAACAGGACCTTTGGGAGAGGCCGCTGCTTATCATCAAACAGCTGGAGGAGCATGAACTCATGGAATTTGTGTAATCTTTACACAAGGGGATAAGAAACAACAACAAGCAAGTTTCTTGTAGCTTGGCACCTGAAGCTCCAGAACACATTTTGGCTTGCATTAGATGTACTAAATAGGACCTTTGGGAGAGGCAGCTGCTTATCATAAAACAGCTCGAGGAGCATGGAGTCATGGAATTTGTGTAATCTTTACACAAGGGGATAAGAAACAACAACAAGCAAGTTTCTTGTAGCTTGGCACCTGAAGCTCCAGAACACATTTTGGCTTGCATTAGATGTACTAAATAGGACCTTTGGGAGAGGCAGCTGCTTATCATAAAACAGCTCGAGGAGCATGGAGTCATGGAATTTGTGTAATCTTTACACAAGGGGATAAGAAACAACAACAAGCAAGTTTCTTGTAGCTTGGCACCTGAAGCTCCAGAACACATTTTGGCTTGCATTAGATGTACTAAACAGGACCTTAGGGAGAGGCAGCTGCTTATCATAAAACAGCTCGAGGAGCATGGAGTCATGGAATTTGTGTAATCTTTACACAAGGGGATAAGAAACAACAACAGAGCAAGTTTCTTGTAGCTTGGCACCTGCAGCTCCAGAACACATTTTGGCTTGCATTAGATGTACTAAACAGGACCTTTGGGAGAGGCAGCTGCTTATCATAAAACAGCTCGAGGAGCATGGAGTCATGGAATTTGTGTAATCTTTACACAAGGGGATAAGAAACAACAACAAGCAAGTTTCTTGTAGCTTGGCACCTGAAGCTCCAGAACACATTTTGGCTTGCATTAGATGTACTAAACAGGACCTTTGGGAGAGGCAGCTGCTTATCATAAAACAGCTCGAGGAGCATGGAGTCATGGAATTTGTGTAATCTTTACACAAGGGGATAAGAAACAACAACAGAGCAAGTTTCTTGTAGCTTGGCACCTGAAGCTCCAGAACACATTTTGGCTTGCATTAGATGTACTAAACAGGACCTTTGGGAGAGGCAGCTGCTTATCATAAAACAGCTCGAGGAGCATGGAGTCATGGAATTTGTGTAATCTTTACACAAGGGGATAAGAAACAACAACAAGCAAGTTTCTTGTAGCTTGGCACCTGAAGCTCCAGAACACATTTTGGCTTGCATTAGATGTACTAAATAGGACCTTTGGGAGAGGCAGCTGCTTATCATAAAACAGCTCGAGGAGCATGGAGTCATGGATTTCGTGTAATCTTTACACAAGGGGATAAGAAACAACAACAGAGCAAGTTTCTTGTAGCTTGGCACCTGAAGCTCCAGAACACATTTTGGCTTGCATTAGATGTACTAAATAGGACCTTTGGGAGAGGCAGCTGCTTATCATAAAACAGCTCGAGGAGCATGGAGTCATGGAATTTGTGTAATCTTTACACAAGGGGATAAGAAACAACAACAGAGCAAGTTTCTTGTAGCTTGGCACCTGAAGCTCCAGAACACATTTTGGCTTGCATTAGATGTACTAAATAGGACCTTTGGGAGAGGCAGCTGCTTATCATAAAACAGCTCGAGGAGCATGGAGTCATGGAATTTGTGTAATCTTTACACAAGGGGATAAGAAACAACAACAAGCAAGTTTCTTGTAGCTTGGCACCTGAAGCTCCAGAACACATTTTGGCTTGCATTAGATGTACTAAATAGGACCTTTGGGAGAGGCAGCTGCTTATCATAAAACAGCTCGAGGAGCATGGAGTCATGGAATTTGTGTAATCTTTACACAAGGGGATAAGAAACAACAACAAGCAAGTTTCTTGTAGCTTGGCACCTGAAGCTCCAGAACACATTTTGGCTTGCATTAGATGTACTAAATAGGACCTTTGGGAGAGGCAGCTGCTTATCATAAAACAGCTCGAGGAGCATGGAGTCATGGAATTTGTGTAATCTTTACACAAGGGGATAAGAAACAACAACAAGCAAGTTTCTTGTAGCTTGGCACCTGAAGCTCCAGAACACATTTTGGCTTGCATTAGATGTACTAAATAGGACCTTTGGGAGAGGCAGCTGCTTATCATAAAACAGCTCGAGGAGCATGGAGTCATGGAATTTGTGTAATCTTTACACAAGGGGATAAGAAACAACAACAAGCAAGTTTCTTGTAGCTTGGCACCTGAAGCTCCAGAACACATTTTGGCTTGCATTAGATGTACTAAATAGGACCTTTGGGAGAGGCAGCTGCTTATCATAAAACAGCTCGAGGAGCATGGAGTCATGGAATTTGTGTAATCTTTACACAAGGGGATAAGAAACAACAACAAGCAAGTTTCTTGTAGCTTGGCACCTGAAGCTCCAGAACACATTTTGGCTTGCATTAGATGTACTAAATAGGACCTTTGGGAGAGGCAGCTGCTTATCATAAAACAGCTCGAGGAGCATGGAGTCATGGAATTCGTGTAATCTTTACACAAGGGGATAAGAAACAACAACAGAGCAAGTTTCTTGTAGCTTGGCACCTGCAGCTCCAGAACACATTTTGGCTTGCATTAGATGTACTAAATAGGACCTTTGGGAGAGGCAGCTGCTTATCATAAAACAGCTCGAGGAGCATGGAGTCATGGAATTTGTGTAATCTTTACCCAAGGGGATAAGAAACAACAACAACAAATTACCTTGTACAATAAAACTAATATTCATTCAGAAAGTTTTTAGCATAAAAAACACTTAAGATACAAACACACTGATGAAAAGAATCTTCAAAAATCTTGAGGAGCATGAACTCATGGAATTCGTGTAACCTTTATCCAAGGGGATAAAAAACAATAATAACAATAAGCTTGTATAATAAAACTAAAATATTCATTCAACAAGTCTTTAGCATAAAAAGTCACTTTAGATAAACACACACTAACAAAAAGAATCATTAAAAATCTTGTCTAAACTACAGGGTGGCCTGTAAGTCCTGATACCATTAAAAATATTCTAAACTAATAAATTATTTATTTGTCTAATTAACGTATGTATTTGTTCAGTTTATATCCAAGTTTAATTCAGAAAATGTCATCGCTCGATATTAAAGAAAGAATTGAAATTATCAAACTCTATTATCCTTTATTTGCCTTTTCTTCTTCTTTCTTATCTCCCCTCAATTATATTAGGGTATCAAGCTTGTAAAGTTTGAGATCATGTCTGGGTGAAGTAGATGCGTCTGCCTTTGTCATTCAAGACTGGGAGCACTACTCAGTGGCAGGCCAACTTAGCTCCAAAAGAAATGGCCGCCTCTGACATGAGGAACAGATGCCATGTGCAGCCGCTCCTAACATGGAGTACAAACGCTGCTCATCCTGTATCCCTGGATTAGGAGCCCTTACAGGGTACTATCAGCCGGGCCAGCTGAGCCCAGGTTTTTTAGTGAGCTTGTTACTGCTCCCCCTCCTCCTTTTTCATCTGAGATTGGAACCGGCAAAGGCGGAGTTTATTTGCCTTTTAATTTTTAATAACAAAAAAAAAAAAAGGGATAAGGCAAAATTTGGATTATAGATTATAAACACAAGGTAATAAGACCAAATCCAAATAAATAAATAGTGTGTGACATTTCGGTAAGAGCGTTGTTACCATGTTCAAGTCATTCAATACTTTTGTCTGAAGATGGTAACAACGCTGTTACCGAAAAAGTCACACACTATTTATTTATTTGGATTTGGTCTTATTACCTTGTGTTTAAAAAAAAAAGGGGGGATTTGCGACTTATATGATCCACCCTGTATAAACCAACCTTTTTGCAGCAAGTTAGAGGGAGTTGTTTGATGATCTTGCGGGTGAGATGACCGCGGTACAGAGCTTGGATCTTTGTAGCGGCTTGATGCATCATCTTCTTGTTGTGATGGAAGGTTCTTCGTTCTCTGAAACTCTTGTAGAAGGATTGGATCCTGGTGGCTGCTTGGGTGATCTGGAGGTCTGAACGGAACTTTGGGTCAAACCTGGTTATATCCTGCACACATAGCAGATAACCAGTGACTGGCACTCTCTTCCTTTTTTAATTACACATTAGAATGATGAAATAATAAGGCACAATTTGAATAATTTATTTATTTATTTATTTTATTTTTTGCTTATCCCTAGTACACGTGGTACAGGCCATGATAATCATGGTGGGTAGTTAGCGACTGCTTTTACTGTAAGCACACCACATGTCTACACATGTGAAAAGCAGTTCGACTTTGCACTTACAAATGTGCCAGAGCCCCGTTTGGTTACTTGCACTCGTTGGTGGGGTTGGACTTTTGCAAGAATCCGGGGCCATTGGAGCATTTTTTTTTTTTTAACAGAAAAAAAGTGTCCAATGCGGGAATCGAACCCGGGTCATAGTGGTCGAAAACCAAACGGTTTAACCGGTTCCACCAGGTAATAAGACCAAATTCAAATGTATTAGTGTGTGATGTTTTGGTAACAGCGTTGTTACCATCTTCAGACAAAAGTACTGAATGATAAAAACATGCTGTGGTAAAATTTCTCATTCAGTACTTTTGTCTGAAGATGGTAACAACGCTGTTACCGAAACGTCACACACTATTTATTTATTTGGATTTGGTCTTATTACCTTGTGTTTAATGATGAATTAAGTTTATCGCCCCAGTAAACAAAACACTACACTGGTTGTGGATAAAGAATAAGCCACACAATTTCATTTTTGACAAATCCACACAAAAGCCAAACTGTATACCATGGTATTGGGCTTTAGGCCTTTATCAGTATAGGCCATATCATGAGATGGAACCCCAGGAGTGTGAGAGGAACGCCTCCTGCCCCAGGATCTCACAGGTCTGTCTTTACAATTTAAATAACTTTTGAAAAAAAAGAAAGGGGCAACTCCTTATCGTGCAAGTTGCTGATGGCTGGCGCCATCTATCGGAATAAATACAGTAAAACCCCGCTAATACGAACCCTGGATA